AGTAATTCTCCCAACACGGAGTAGATTGTTGCAAATACAATGAAGTCCTTTAGAATATGGCAATATCTCTCAAAGACTCAAGCAATGAGGAAAAACTCAAGCAAGAAATGATTTAGCAATCAAAACAATTGCCTTGCTTGGATATAAGGAGGGGATTGAGTAGAATCTCTTTGGATATTCAAAGGATATGTTTTTCAAAGTGTTCTGAGTGTTCTTATAAAGATAATCACGAAAGTAGATAGTTTATAGAAGTTAGGGAGTGGATAGGGATGAAAAGCATTCAAAAAACTAGCCGTTTGGTAGTTGAAACTGTCGAACTATTCGACTAAATCAAGACTTAGTCGACTAGTTTTGGTGAAACTGCAATCTGACTTATTCAACTAGTTCTGGATTTATTCAACTAAGTCAGAATAGAATTTCAGGGATTTATTCAAACAGTTTTCAATTTATTCGAATAGTTTGCTGAAAAAAATGTGTTTTAAAAGTAAGATGATAAGGGAATGAACCTTAGAGATGCCATACTCTTTAACACATAATCTAAGACCTAAAACACTACCCAACTAAGGAAACAACCTCTTCGGTCTCGTTCCTTCCACCGATGCTCAAGTCTCTTCTTCACGGACGGATATGAACTTGTTGTAGCTTTGATTCTTAGCATTGATGCACAATATGATGATGATGTTTTGTCACCCGTTTGTCATTATCAAAACCTAAAAGACAATGAGCAAAGAACATTGCAAAAATATATATTCATGATAGCACATTGTCCAACAGGGAGGACTTTACTATCGCTAACTCTAAATCAGTAACAATTTAGGGTTACATCAATGTTGATTGTACTTATTCGTTCACTCAGTTAACCTATGCAGTACTCCATTTTCAATGCAATGTCATTTCATGACATTGAAACCCTACATGATGAAAATTGGACCGATATTTAAATCACAATATTTATGCTTTTATACAAGCTTCAACTACTAAATGAAAAATACAAATAAATAAAAATTATTGTGAATTTTGAATAATGGAAATGAGCATCCTGTGTGGGATGGAGGAAGTAATGTAAAATAAATTTGAAAAAATGAAAATTAAATGCTACATTTAATAATTTCTGCTTGGCTCCCTTAACATTGACAGCCAATCTGATCCTATGTCATGAGATCCCATTAGAACCTCTACGATGTTCCGTTTAAAAAAAGATGAATCTTATTCCCCCAATTCCCCTCCCTTCCCGGATTGACTATAGTAATGGAATAGTTAGGGAAGGTGATTGGAGCCTTGGAGGTGCAAGGGCAGATAGGAAAGACTAAATAAAGAGTTGGAATCATCAATTTTTCGAATGAAGTACCTTCTGAGCCTTGTGTCACCACACGACATTGATACTCTTATCAACGTCCTGGGAACCGTCCCTAATCTCATTATTCCATCCTTCTATCCGTCGCGGCCTGCTGAAGCCCTCGCTCTTAAGGCGGCCCTTAGTTGGTTGAAAGACTACTATTGGACCCAAGTTATCATCGGATCGAACCGTCTCTCACTCTTATCTTTGATGCTCCGTGTCAGGCCCAAGTCAATAATATATCTTCACTTTCTCATATTTTTTTGATTGTAAATCTTTAATTTCTAATCTATGCATTGGAATTTCTTTTATATTCCGTTTTTGTTTATCGCTCACCTTTTCTACTAAACCGGATTATTAATGATTGCGGGCAGTTCCCATGACATTGCAGCAATGTTATGAGATGATCCGGAGGTCATACGAGGCTCCGTTCGTAAAATTGACGGTTCATTCCCCTCTTAACCCCCTAATAAACCTCTCTGCCCGTCTAAAACCTACTGCTCCATTCCTTTCAATTGCATCTCTCAAGTTTTATTGACTTTGGAGTTAAAATTTTAGCTCCAAAGTCAATTAAACTGGAGATGAAATTGAAGGGGGTGGGGCGGTAAATTTGAGATAAGGTGGGGCGGAGAGGGATTTACCAGAAATTAGGAGAGATAACCATTAATTTTACAAACGGCACATCGTACCACTATGAGGGTGTTAATGATTAATGTCTTTGTTCTTTCCTACTCCTTAAAAACAAGATTTTGTACGGGCAAGAAACCACTGGTTCTTCCGAAACCCCCAAATTCCATTCAGAATTAGGGCAAGAAACTCCGAAAGAACAGAAAAGAAAGGCTTCTTCTGGTGGGCATAAATCACACGCGCAGAGAGCGATGGTGTGCATCCGCAAGGCGACGATCGACGATCTGCTGGCGATGCAGGCGTGCAACCTGATGTGCTTGCCGGAGAACTACCAGATGAAGTACTACTTCTACCACATCCTCTCCTGGCCGCAGCTGCTCTATGTGGCGGAGGACTACAACGGCAAAATCGTCGGCTACGTCCTCGCCAAGATGGACGAGGAGACCAACGAGTGCCACGGCCACATCACCTCCCTCGCCGTCCTTCGCACCCACCGCAAACTTGGCATTGCCACCAAGCTCATGACTGCTGCCCAGAACGCTATGGAACAGGTCCTGCACCACCTTCAATCTTGAAATTCCCCCCTCATTTGAACTTATAATTGCTTCATTTGAACTTATAATTGCTTATAAAACTTGTTCTCCGTAGATGGAAAGGAAACAAACTAATGCTGTAAATGGATGGAAAGAGGGAACTTTAGTGCGATCGTAATGCAATTCGGTGGAAATCTGTTTCTTCTCCTCTATTTTTAAACTTTAGACTTTAAGAAACCTTGAAACTTGCCATGGGAATTTGATTGTTAGATGCTGTTTGGGCTGGGTTGGAGTGACTTCACTATTTTCTGTGGGTTGCTTTTAATCTTTTGCTTCAATCATTATCTTGCATTCTACTGTTTAATGAAGTAAAGGTTTTTTTAATGGTGAGCTTGTTGAAGATGGACTTCTTTATCCTAATGAAACATGTAAAGGTAGTGTAGGAGTATTTCAGTAGAGGTATCAATCCTGGTATGCGACACATTTACTTACGTAAGATAATAGCTAAATGCTTCAATCATTATCTTGCATTCTACTGTCTGATGAAGTAATGACTTTTAATGGTGAGCTATTTGGAGATGGACTTCATTACCCTAATGAAACATGTAGAGGGAGTGTAGGAGTTTTTTAGTAGTGGTATCCTGGTATGTGACAAATTTACTTACATAAGATAACAGTTAAATGCTTCCAGTAAAAGGAGCATGGTAAAGAAAGGCTAATATAAACGTTTATCTGAATTAACTACCATAAAAGAATAAAAATGAGTACTTTACTGTATACTCTGTATAAGTTTAGAAAATATTACTGGCCTATAAATAGTCTACTGTAAAACTCTGTCTGGCCTGCATGATAAAATTTGGGAGCGTCAACTTGTAAAATTGAAACTCTGGAAGGAGCAGGTACATTAGATGGATTAATTACATGTTCTACAAAGTATAATTTGTGTATTTGTTATTGAGCTTGGCCTATATGTAGGTGAATGAAGAACTGCTGGAGATTGGAGAAATGGACCCACATTTTACACCTTTTTGTTTTAAGACTTTTACACATTATCTTTATTATCTTAGACCATTGCCTGAGCTTTAGGTCATATTATTAGGTTTTTGTTTCTCATAAGTAGGCAGTGTAGCTGATGTGTGATTTCATGGTTCATTTTTTGTATAAAGAAAATGTTATTTATGTCTTGCACATAGTCTTTTTTTTATTAAAAAAATGTCTTGCTCACAGTCTATTCAAAAAGAAAATTGGGATATCGAGCAGATGACAGATCAATGGTGTTCCTATTATTGTTGTTGTTGGCAGTTCGCCAGTTCTATGACCCCCCCCCCCACACACAGATAGCAACTTAAATAAAACCCCATTTGCCCTCCCTTGTACTGTAAGGTCTGTTAGGAACAATTATATTTAAATTACAATGATAAAAAGCTAAGAAATTTAAAAATATATTCGTTTTTAAAAAGGTTATTACATGAAGTATTTATTTTTCATTGGCATTTCCAAGGTGAAGCTGAACATAAGAGAACAACCTCCCTAAGAAGTCTTGCTCCTTTCCCTAGCATTTTACGAGATCCATACATACCCTTACTGTCACAACTCATAAATTGCGTATGACTTTTAAATTTGGAACAGGTTTTTGGAGCAGAATATGTGTCATTGCATGTCAGGAAAGGTAACAGGGCAGCATTCAAGCTGTACACGGAGACATTAGGGTACCAAATTCATGATGTAGAAGCAAAGTACTATGCAGATGGCGAAGATGCTTATGATATGAGGAAACTATTGAAAGGTAAGAAGCATCAGCATCAACACCACCACCACCACACCGGAGGCGGGTGTTGCTCCAGGGAAGTGAAAGCAGATGGAAAGGATGGCGCGACAGAAGGGAAGGCACATTGATACTGCTAGACAATCGCGCATACCATTGTTTGCATCCCTTGCCCTTTCTCGTTTCTTTATTCAAAACCCACTCTTGCACGTTTATGTTCTTTCCTTTATGTCCATCATGTTATCTCATCAATATCACATTATATCTTGAAGTCGGTTGGATGATCATCTTTTCTTTTCTTGGGGGTGTGGATTTGTCACGGAATGATAAAATGGTGTTGAAATCTGGGTATTGCTTACCCGTATAGCAGGTAATGTGGATTAAAATATTACAAGTTTCTCTTAGGCTCATATGAATTTTTAGTCTTTTATGTTACATTGATACCCAAATTGAAGTTTTGCCATTTGTGGGAGGCTTTGTGCCATTGTTGGTGTGGTTTCCTCCCTCCCTCTTCTCTTCGTTGCAATCTTTTTAGTCTGATTAATTGTGGATGTCTCGTTTCAGATGAAAGTATAACCAAACGGATCCATTGAGATCCTGAGGAAAATTGATAAAGGCTGACGAGCGATAGCCCCACCCCCC